TCTCTCTCTCTCACTCACTGCCCGCAGACAAAATTGCACACTTTCAACACAAGAGCGCTGGAACATTTGTTTACACTGATATCACAATGAACGCACACCAAGTGCTCTCACTTCTCACCCCGGGTGAGAGGCCTACAACTGCGCTTTTCTCACCCAGGGTGAGAACAGAGGCAGAGGTGGCCCCCGCCACAAACAAAGTGCAAGCGCAAGGTTGAAAACACTATTCTTCTCCTTCAAACTATCAATTAAAACCAAATGAAAACACATGGTAGGATAAAACTGAACATGATTCATTTCAAGAATACTAGGCATAGAGTAGATGGCCAAACCCGCGACCACTTGTCGTATTTTGCTTCTCAGCGGTCTCTGTCGGCAAAATAGGTCAGGCAATCCATGTTCAGGGCCGCTTCAGTGTGTCAACTTCTGGTTTATACCGTGATATCATCACTCATTCCAAAACGTCATTCACAGATTTTGCATTTTAACATTTTAATGTTCTGCCCTTGGCGCGACCGCATGCCGTCAGCGCGACCGCATACGGAACGGGGCATGACCATGTGCGAACAGACATATAACAGGTGTAAGAAAGTTGTTAGTACACTATTCATAGGTTAGTATAATCATTTCTTTAACAAATATGAATGATAACAATTATCTTATTATATTAAACAGAGGGTATAGATAGAGACAAGTGGTCGCAGGTTGGGCCAGCTACTCTAGTTTAGTAACTGAAAAAAACTTCTCTAAGATCGAAAAATGGGGAACTGGTCATGCTCAGGGCACGGTTATGCCAAAGGCCGATGCCTCTAGATCTAATATCTAGATCTAGATTAGATCTATTTTAATTTTGAACTCACTTTAAATTTTAATTAACTGAATTGTTTACGGTATCTAAATCTAGATCTAGATTCTAGATCTATCTAATCTAGGCCCAGCCTAGATCTAGAGCCCCTGTACGGCATACCGACACCTTGGTGTTTTGTGATGACTATTTCCGGAAGTGAACTTTTGTATTACCATAACTTCGGCTCTTTCAAAAACATCGACCCAAAATTTCGTTTCGTTAAGAGGCCAGCCTTTCCTGTCTGTGTGGGGTGAAGTTTTTAGTCAGATAGTGTATAAAGAAGACCCCTAAACTTGACGCATGTCATGACATGCACCCCATACCGGCACGTATCAGGTTTTCTGTCATGGCATGTACCCATACCGTCACCCACTACACCCCATACCAGCACACTCAAATTGAAGCACAACTGGGCGTTTGAAAAGAGGAAAGAA